TTTCTTGCAGGTCCGTGAACGTGGATTCAATCCGCGTGGTGTTTCCGTACAAGCACCGGTTCGCGGACGCGGTGCAAGGCGACTTCGTGTCGCTGTTCAAGTGGGTGAAGCTGGTGCACGCCATCAAGAAGAAACCCTTCACTGCTGAGAGTCCGCTGCCCAGCGACTTGCATATCAAGGTCACTATAGTTTGGTCTGCGAGCACGTACAATTTTGTCCAATGACTCCAAGCTACCCATCCTTATCGCTCGCGCGTAATCAAAGTCAAAGTCAAAATTTCTTTATTTGTTTAGACTAATAAATAGTTCTTACAAATCGTCATTTTGCTCTTAAGAAGCCTCTACATGTCTCATAATCTTTTTACCCTACCAGCGCTTCGAGACCAACATTTGGCAAGTGCTGAGAAGAAGCGCCGCAACAAACTCAGTCACCACTGTCTGCCGGTTAATATAAATAATTATGTTGCTGTCGCGCTCGCACACACACTGCGGGCGCGCGTCGCACAGTCGCGACAGCAATATAATTACGCGCGAGCGATAAGGATGGGTAGCTTGGGATCATTGGACAAAATTCTACGTGCTCGCAGACCGGGCTTTAGAATAGATAAGAATAGAGAAGAATTGCCATAAGATACATACTTAGTCAGTTAGATAGATATTTATTGATCGTGTTTTGTTTTTGCAGATTCAAGAAATCTTAATCGAAATGAGTGACGATCCATTTGAAGTGAAACTGCGTGACAACTACGAGCTTTTAGAGGACGAGTACAAGGAAAGTCAAAAGAGACGGACTATGCTTGATGCTAAGGTGAACCAATCTCATTACAACATTTAGCTTATTACACTTGATTTTGACAAATATAAGACTCAGAACTTCAGCAGCTGAATCAAGTCAGACACTCATGGTGGCGTAGAAACTTTTCCATCTGGGACCAATGCCAGTCGATAGCTAGTACACTAACATACTTTATCTCGAAATAATCTTGATAATGACAGTTTGATAATGTCATCAACCCCATTATAAACCCCGCTGTCTAAAAACACAAACCTCTAAAGTCAATAATCGCTGAAATATATGTTAAATACATAAATTGCTTTACGTAGGTTTAAATACGTTTGCTTTCCAGGTGCAAGAACTGTGCAAGCCCCACCTATTCTTACCCGCGGGTAAGGTCGAGGAGCTATACTCGGCCTTACGTCAGAAGGACGCACAGATCTACGTGCAGCGTTGCCGAGCCGCGCCGCCGCCACGCACTCGGCTTGTGGCTTGTTGCCTTAGTGGCTTCAGGCTTATAGCATTAGCTGACCCTTCCATACATGGAGCACAGAACGCGCAGGCGAAGATGAGAGATATTGATTTTGACAGGTAAGTTACTGTGTCTTTACGAGTGCGATCTTTTGTTGATGTAGTATAGCGGTGTACGCGCCTTTTGGCCTGCTGCCTTAGTGGATTCAGGCTTATAGCTCTGGCTGACCCTTCCATACATGGCGCACAGAACGCTCAAGCTAAGATGAGAGATATAGATTTTGACAGGTAACTTATTTGTTTGTAAATGTGCTATTGTTTTCTGATCCAGTTCTGTTTCGCTACGTTGTCGTTGCGCACGCGCGTTGAGGCCTGCTGACTAGAACGGACTAGTCCCATATTACCAAGCGATTATTTTACTGATCTACATTCAGTGCATTCGAGTGCTGAATATCTTTAATACATGGCTGAATGAGTTCTTTCCAGACTAATTATCGGTAGCACGCACTGACGCCTCGATACTCGGCGCTTAGGACGCGCCTACTCAGCTAAGGAATATAGATTTTTTTGACAGACAAAAAAAGACTAAAGGCCGGTAACGCACCTGTAACACCCCTGGGACTGCGGATGTCTATGGGCGACGGTAATCACTTATCATCAGGTGATCCGTCTGCTCGTTTGCCTCCTGTCATATAAAAAAGACTCATTTAATTACTTTGTTTTGGTGATTTTTTAGGCAGATTCTTGTGACAATGACCTCAGTAGCAATTACGTAAGTGCAAACACCTTTTGGGACATATTTTGGCCGCGTATTTAAGAAAATACTATTGTCTCCAGCCCGTGGCCCGAGGACGGCATGGAGTTCACGACTCTGTGGGCGCGCGGCGTGCAGCTGGGCGTGGCGCAGTGGCAGCTGCTGCTGCGGGACTTCCCGCAGCCGCTGCTCAGCTGCCGCGGCCTGCGCATGTGGGGCACCGTGGCCGCCGCCGAGGACCAGCCGCCGCCTAGAGGTACGTTGTACTAAAGCCCGGTCTGTAAGAGCACGTAGAATTTTGTCCAATGACCCCTAGCTACCCATCCTTATCGCTCGCGCGTAATTATGTTGCTGTCGCACTCGCACACTCACTGCGGGCGCCCGTCGCACAGTCGCGACAGCAATATAATTACGCGCGAGCGATAAGGATGGATAGCTTGGGGTCATTGGACAAAATTGTACGTGCTCACAGACCAGACTATAATATCATCATCATTAGGCCTTTTAAGCCTTTTAATGTATTCTTGGTTGAAGTGTATGTGATTAGAAAGAAAGAAAGAAAGATACTGATGATTAAACTGTACCTGTGTGATTAATCTAATATTGTTATAAGCTGCAACATATCCGCTCCATGATGAATAATTTACTAACCAGCGTTTCTCAATCTAAGTGAATGTATTTTCTGTTTTGAGAAGTAAATGTCTTATACCGTAAGCCCGATTTCCATCAAGGTCGAGAGGAGTGGAGACGAAAGAAGTTGTGTTTTAAATAACCAATCAGATTTTGTTATTTCCACATCTCCTCTCCGCTTCGGTGAAAATGGATCGAGCGGAGAGGAGACGAGATCTGTCGACATACGAGTATCGGCAGACTAGCGGGGCGGGTGGCCTTGGGCGCCTCGCGGCTCGTTCCCCGCTGCCTTCTCCCCGCGCCTTGCACACCAGAAAGCGACATACGATTCGTAGACAGCAATAGACTGACAGCTGACAGCTACACACAGCTCACATCTCTCCGCTCCGCTTCGATGGAAACCGGGCCATAGGAAGGCCAGGAAGACGACCCTCTCTAATTTACCACAGGAAGATCTTTATGCTACACCCCTTACGCTGGGTAGATGGGTTGGGGAGGTCTGATGTTCACATGTTTGTCTTTTAATCGCCTCTTATGACAGTCACAGGAAGAGTGGGGGGTGGTCATATTCTCTACTCGGAACCACGCGACTAATATTCATCCAAACATTTTTTCTGTTGAGTTGAAAAACAGTTTTATATCTTTGTGAATGTAATAAATTGTGTTCCAGCTGTCCGCACGGTGACAATAGACCAGGGCGCGCCGTGGGGCCCGTACGAGCTGGAGCGTAGCATGATGCCGCTCAAGTGGTACTATGACCTGTGCTGTGAGATGGCTCAGTACAGCTACGCCTTCGGGCCCTGTTGGGAACCGGTCATCGCGCACTGCAACCTGTGTGAGTGGAACTAGAAATCTGTTTGTTTATTTTAGATGTCACTAGGGTAGACGTACACGTGCACTGTTCTCCAACGTATGACTACGTTATTTAACGAACAAATTACTGTACCTACATGAAAAAGGTAATTGTAAAAACGAGGCAATAAAGTATTATCTTATCTTAAAAAAGCTCGAACATCATGAAATACGATTTAAAATATACAATTTTGAAAACTTAAAAAAATATGTATGTGACCCTTCGGCCTCGCTGTTGTGGTGGGACACCTTTAATAATACATGATCTCCTTAACTTATAACGTCAATTCCAGCTTTCGACCAAGTGTCCCGGCCCTCCCTGGACCCCTCCGCGCCTCTGGCCTGGTGGGACAAGGTCCGGCTGCTCATGCACGGGCGGCTGACGGCCAACATCGCGCGCTTCACGTGCCTGCTGCACGTGTCGCTGGACCCCTACAACACCACCGAGGAGATGGAGCTCACGTGGAGCGACCTGGTGCTGGACTGGACCAACGGTGAGCGGCAGCAAGGTCCCGGCCCCCCCTTAAGCTCGCTAGTCTGGTGGAATTTTTCAGAAAGAAGACATCATTCTAATCTTGAAATGTCCACGTGCCTGTCCGAGTACTCCAGTGACTAGTTCTGGAAAATCCATAATCCGGCTCGAAGGACCACTAAGATATACCGTGAGAGTAGTACTCTCAAAGAATTGCTAAATAAAATACACAGTTTGCCCTGATATTTTGCGTGGTTGAAAATTGGTGAAAAGTTAGTAAAATAGTGCCGCCCCATCGGCTTGGTTTATGTAATTCCTTACGAAACTTTAGATCATGATTTTGTACTGTGTAACCTTGCGGTGGATTTCGAGCATATTGTGCCAAGATCTTTCAGCGATTCTGCCACGTCCACAATATCGTCGGCAAACCGAAGGTGAGTGGTGTACTCGCCGTTAATGTTTATGCCGAATACTTTCCATTCCAGGAGTTTGAAAGCGTCTTCCAATGCAGTGGTGAATAGTTTCGGAGTTGCTGTGATTTTGTAATGTGTAACCTTGTGATTCTGTGACTTTCATAATAATAATATAATCATTATCCTCCCCCAGGCAAGCTCGGCTTCCTCGGCGAGCTGAACGTGTTCGTGCGCACAGCGAGCAAGTACGACGATTGCCGCGTATTACGCGTGCCGGCGCTGCGGCTGTGCGCCAAGCTCGGCTGGCAGTGCGTCGGCGACCCGCGCGACCACCACGCGCAGGCGCCCTGCGCACCCACGCGGTTGCCCGAGTACTCTAGTAACCAGGTCTGTAAAAACTAATCCGGCTCGAAGGACCATCTTTAAGAAATTACCTTAATTAGCTTAGGTGAAATACTGCAGATTGTTATAATAAAGAGTTTCTTGCTATATGCCGTAATTTAATAATATGGTTACGATATGGTTATGCTAACTTTTGGCACTTGCATACAAAACTACGAAGCGGAAATGTCGCTGTATGCAATCTTCAAGCTCCAACGATAATCGGAAGTCAAAAAACACCAAACGTAGAATGACGAAGCTACGTGTGAGACACCTATTTAAGGCTTGTAAGTAAATGACATTATAAGAATATTCATCGCGATATTTATGATATTGGGCGTCAACCTTGAGAGGTTCCTAATTTGATTGAATTAAACTTTTGTGTGTGTGTGTCTTAAATAAAATGTGTTTTTCAGGAACACGACTCATACCGCGCATTCCGGTCTCAAGGGCTAGATATCCATTTGAGTATGGAGACAAAGCCCATAGACAGGGATGGACCTGTGCTGCTGCTTTACGGGAGCACTTTAAGGTAAAGTTTAAATAGTTACAAGCTTTTTGAAAAATCAGTAAAAATACTTAGAAATACTTGGTCTGCCTGGCTAGCTACCATTATCTTTCCAACTCTGTCGCCATAACAACAATGTAAAAAGCATATTGTGTTTCGGCAGTTTAAGGTAACATACTCAGTTTTTTTGTCGTTCTTTTCGGATTAGGATCATTTCCACTTTTGGTCTGACTGTCATTTCCAATCAGATGAAAAGCAGGCCGTTGTGGTAAATAATAAACTTTTTTCAGATGGTTCGAGAGCTTGAAGTTGATTCTATCCGGCGTGACGCGGCCTACACGGCGCGGGCGCGTGTTCAACAATGTGCGCCCGCGCAAGCCGCAACTGTCGCGTCACTACCGCAACGTCAGCGTGTCGCTCACGCTGCACAACCTGCAGGTGAGTGAAAAGATTAATTTTTGAACTTTAGGTCAATAGAGATACAGTTCAAAATCCATCCATTAGGTGGATAAACAGACGATTTTCAGTCAGTCAAAGTATCTAACTTTACTGCAACAAAAATAGAAATAAATTACATAAATTGATTTTACGCTGTGTGCATTCCAGTGGATTCACAGAATCTTATTACTAGAATAGAAGCAACGTTCAGCAGTGAACTTATGGCTGAAATGATAGTGTTGAATGCAGAAACTAAATTCCTTCATCCGCATAGCTGTTTTACTGTTCATAGACGCGCTGCAGCGAAATCGAGATGAAAACAATGAAATATAGAAACAACATTCCTTTATCCATGCAGGTGTTATACAGGTATCATCATAGATGCATCACGACATCAACATTAAAACAAAATAATATAGAAACAATCTTCATGCTCGCAGGTGTTGTACTGGTCATCATCATAGATGCAGCGAGTCATCAACATTCATCATTATCATCTCAGACTTAGGACGTCTACTGCTGAACATAGGCCTCCCCCAATGCTTTCCATGTTACCCGGTTGGTAGCGGCCTGCGTCCTCAACATTAAAACAAAATAATATAGAAACAATCTTCATCCTCACAGGTGTTCTACTGGTCATCATCATCCATGCAGCGAGGCATCGAGATGCTCGGCGTCCGCGTAACATGCGGCTCCAAACACCGGTTGACTCTAGTCCCGGCCTCCGACGGCTTACTGCGGCGTCCCCGAGCTAACTGGACCACGGTGTATATGAACTGTGATTTAAATGACGCGGAGATCTGGCTGAAGACCACCGCTGCGGTGGCTGAGGACAAGGATAATGATGCGGTAAGTGTTACCATGTGTATGCGTGTTTTTAGGATATCTGAAAGAGGAGCTGTGTAGTTGTAATGAGTTGTTTGGGGAGGTAGCAGGATCTTCCTGGTGAACGTTTTAATGAAATATCTATCAGTTGTGACATGTGACGTTTATATGGGCGTACTTTTTACGAGAACGAGATTGAAGTTTCTGGGAGAGCAGTGGACTGTATGATGATGATAATTAAGGGAGGATATTGTCGTTTACCCGTTGTTGTAGGTGAGCGACGAAACGCAACATGAAGCGATGCGGACGCCACGTAATGCGATCAATCTTCATGTGACGTCTGTAATACGCGACTACGTAGGCCATTACCGACTATCTGGTGTTTTCGCATCGCGTCATATTATTGCGTTTTTCGTCCAAATAGGTGTTCTTATACAAGAGCCGCTCATAGCCGATGGCAGTGGCAACGCCAGCGGTCGCATCCTGTACAAGAGATAGAGAGTTACAACTGCAGCTAACGCCACCAGTCGGTGGCACTAGCTGCAGTTGCAGGCTGCGCATATTTTAAAATCAATCAACAATATTTTGTCCCAGAACTCGTCAGTCCTCCGCCCGCCAGAAGTGGAGAAGTGGTACTGCGTGTCAGTGCGGCGCGTGTCTTACGGGCGCGAGGCGGCGGGCGCGGGCGCGGGCAGCGCCACGCACCGGCTGGCCGTGCACGACCTGCGCGGCGCCTGGACCAAGCTCAACCGCGACCTCGCCTTCGCGCTTATTGACACCTACATAAAGACGCAGGTGGGTGTTGTTTAGACCCCCTAAAGGTGCGTACGGATTGCGCGTATCCGGAACGCCTAGTCCATACCTGCAGCTACGCGTTCACTTGAGGTACGCGTACCAACTCGCAGTGCGAGCCACCGTCTGTCGGTTTTTGGTCGCGCGTCAAAGAGGACGCACGCGGCCGCGTAAGTATTATTTTTGCCGTCCAAATATAGCGTAGCCGGCCGCGGATACGCGTAAACTGACTACGCGTATCAGGGTACGCGCAATCCGTACGCACCTTAACAGCGTCGTTTGACGTCATCATCCTGCGCAGCGTCGACGGTGAGCACAGCGGAGCGTTACTTGTCTGAAAATAACGTTGTGTTTGGCGCGGTCGCGACTGTGCGATGGTGCGCGGGCGCTGCTGGCAAGATGACGCTCGAAAGACGTTAGTGTGACCGGGATCTTTGATTGTCAATTCATCTGTCTTTTTTCGAATTGAATCTTCAATAATGTCTTTGCATTGGAAAGAAATCGATCCTTTAAAGTAAAATCTTATTTTCTTAATTTCAGCAACTGAAGAAAAATCTGTCGACCAAAGCTTTAAAAGAAGAAGAGAAGCCGAACTCTTCCCCGAAGAGAGAAGCAGATGTAGTGTCTCCACCGCCGTCCAATGCTCAGGTATGGTTGAAAAATACAGGGTGTGGTTTTGTAAAACAACGTCCATCGGCGCCGACGCTTTGTACGCGGCGCTCTGACGCAGCCATGTACTACAAGATTGATCGTTATAGAGCTATGACACGCGTTACAGTGAATTATGTGGACTCTCCCCGCTAGGGCCTGCCCACTAAAACCCGACGGTGTCCGCCGGAGCCTAATGAAACGGAGCCGCGAGTCACTTTTCGCTGTCTGTTCCTATGTATGCTTAGATCTTTAAAACTAAGCAACGGATATTGATGCGGTTTTATTAATAGATAGAGTGATTCAAGAGGAAGGTTTTAGGTGTATTTAGCCAGAGTAAATACAAATGAGTAGGTCATCTTCATAGAACATTTTCGGGGCACCTCACCGCTAATCAACGCAAAATTTTGTCAGTGTGTGCGTGCGTTTCTATGAAGATGACCTACTCATTTGTATTTACTCTGGTATCGCGTACGATATAACATAACACGTTTAAATGGTATTGTGTTCCCCAGTGCCAGTCCGCCAACACATCGGGCGCGGGCGAGGGCGCGGGCGGGATGTTAGCCGCCCTAGTGGCGGAGGCGGGCGGCGAGGCGCCCGTCGTGTTCAGCGACGAGCTGAGCGGCGACGCGCCCGCGCACCCGCCGCCGCACGCGCACCACAAGCAGCTGGACGACGACACGGCGCACACCGCCTTCCTCAGTGAGTAGTAGCAGGCCTGTTCATCTCCACGAGTTTACATCGAAAACAAAACACGCACGATGGCCCACCTACAGGATACTATTCAACAAGGCCTCACATACGAGCGAACATTGACTCACGCACGCGTATTCATGTGTATGATGGAAGAAAATAAAGAAAATGGTGTACTAAATACTGTGCAGTATTTAACTGCCTAAATAATAATAAAAACACAGAATGTACTTTTTTAAGTTGCCTCAAGACACTGAGAGGTAAATAAGTAGTTGATATTATTCATGATAATTCATGCTAAATCATGTATTTCCTCCGCCATTTTCCGCAGTTTGGCACCTCACGTCACATCATTTTACCGAAGTCAGCCCTATAGCTTCGGCGCAATGCCGATCACTGACGTTTGTCAACAAAATGGTGCTTGACTCTTGAGACAGGCTAAATTACACCATATTGTTAATGACATTGAGCATACATTTTTTTAAATACCTTCGCGAAGTAAAACTTCTGTAACGTAGTACTTATTATTATTCTGTGGTAGTAGGCAGTAGTGTGTCGCAGTATCATGGCGACTACAGCGAGAGGCGCGAGTGAGGCCTCGGCAGGTGATATTCTGGCGCACACCGCCTTCCTCAGTGAGTACACTCGCACAGTGTCGGTCGACACACCAGGCGGCGGCGAGGCCCCGTGGTGTCCAGCGACGAGCTGAGCGGAGACGCGCCCGCGCACCCGCCGCCGCATGCGCACCACAAGCAGCTGGACGACGACACGGCGCACACCGCCTTCCTCAGTGAGTAAAGTACCTTTACGCCCGTATTCACAAACATTACTATGAGGTCTCACAGTGCACATGGACGCACAGGGTCACACACGAACCATTCACAGAGCTCTATTCAACGATGTGCGTCCGATTTGCTGCTTCACTTAAGCAAGCATCATTTGTGAATATCACAGAATAATAATAAGTACTACGTACAGAAGTTTTACTTCGCGAAGGTATTTAAAAAAATGTATGCTCAATGTCATTAACAATATGGTGTAATTTAGCCTGTCTCAAGAGTCAAGCACTATTTTGTTGACAAACGTCAGTGATCGGCACTGCGCCGAAGCTATAGGGCTGACTTCGGTAAAATGATGTGACGTGAGGTGCCAAACTGCGGAAAATGGCGAAGGAAATACATGATTTAGCATGAATTATCATGAATAATATTAACTACTTATTAACGTCTCAGTGTCTTGAGGCAACTTAAAAAAGTACATTCTGTGTTTTTATTATTATTTAGGCAGTTAAATACTGCACAGTATTTAGTACACCGTTTTCTTTATTTTTTTCCATCATACATAAGAATACGCGTGCGTGAGTCAATGTTCGCTCGTATGTGAGGCCTTGTCGAATAGTATCCTGTAGGTGGGCCATCGTGCGTGTTTTGTTTTCAATGTAAACTCGCGGAGATGAACAGGCCTGGTAGTAGGTAGTAGTGTGTCGCAGTATCATGGCGACCACAGCGAGAGGAGCGAGTGAGGACTCGCCGGGCGATATGCGCACGCCGCCTTTGATCGTAAGTCAAGAGCCTACCGCCTTCCTCAGTGAGTGCACTCGCACAGTGTCGGTCGACACACCAGGCGGGCGGCGAGGCCCCGTGGTGTTCAGCGACCACAGCTAAGGACGCGAGTGAGTGCTCGGCAGGTGATATGGTGACGCCTTCAATCGTAAATCAAGCGCATACCGCCTTCCTCAGTGAGTAGTAGGTAGTAGTGTCTCGCAGTATCATGGCAACCATAGCGAGAGGCGCGAGTGAGGGCTCGATGGGTGATATGGTGGGGAACACTGCCTTCAATCGTAAGTCAAGCGCATACCTTCCGCCAGTGTGGCAGGCCCTTAAAAATTTACTTGTGTTTCAGTCGAGCTGGTGAATTCCCAAGTGGTCCTGAAGGGGTGCGAGACGCGCGGCTACGTGTTGCTGTGCGCAGCGCGCGCCGAAGTGCGCCAGCGCGTGCGCCGCTCGCCGCCCGCCACCGCCTGGTGCGGCGCGCTCTCCGCCATGCAGTACTACGCCACCGTCAGCGCCGCCCTCGGCGACCAGCTCGACGGTGAGAGAGACATGACCATGACCATGACCATATCGTGCGCCGCTCGCCGCCCGCCACCGCCTGGTGCGGCGTGCTCTCCGCCATGCAGTACTACGCCACCGTCAGCGCCGCCCTCGGCGACCAGCTCGACGGTGAGAGAGACATGACCATGACCATGACCATATCGTGCGCCGCTCGCCGCCCGCCACCGCCTGGTGCGGCGCGCTCTCCGCCATGCAGTACTACGCCACCGTCAGCGCCGCCCTCGGCGACCAGCTCGATGGTGAGAGAGTAGGGCGCGGATAGATGTACGCGACCATGACCATGACCATGTCCAAGACACATGACCATGACCATGACGCATGACCATGTCCACGACACATAACCATGTAGGCGACTTAGTCGGTACTGAGCCTAAACTATGAAACTCCTTAAGATGTAAATAAACTCATAGATATCCTTACATGGCTATCACATTCTAATTATGGCCTATGGCACACGTAAGGCGCAAAACAAATGTACAGACACATCACTTACATATTTCAATTTCCCAATACCCCTAGCCGTTTTAGCCAGAACTTCTGGCAAACATACGCAATGCTTTTGGATTTGAACGTCGTAGTCGTTCACAATACAACACTTATTCGAACTAAACACTCATTCTCATATTCTCATTGCAGAGAATATACAATGGGTGTCAGTAGAAGAAATATCCGAACGATGGGCGGGAACAGAGATCAGTACATTGCCGGACGTGCCGCGCCTGGTGGGCAGCGGCCACTCCGCGGGCGGCGTCATCGGGAGGACTGTCGGGCCCAGCGCCGACACTGGTCTAGCGCAGGTATGTTGTAGTTCTATGTATAAACAGAAACAGGCTCAAAAATTGGATCTAATTTCCAAGAAAAACAAATGGTCCTTCGAGCCGGATAATCGAAAGTAAAGTGCATGTATGAACTTGGTCGAATCAGTACTTCAAAGTGGAAAAAGAACAGACGATTATGTGTAAAATAACATTTCTTATTCAACATAATGAATTGATGTTTGATGTCTCGTCGTTTGTATTGTAATTTTGAAAATTAAATTTTTGTTTAGTTAGCGATTTTTCAGCTCTATGAATTAGAATATAAATGTCACTATTTTTACTGGTAAATCATTGTCCGCAGCTGCAAAGGATAGTGTCGCGCTGCGCATGCGAGTTCTACTACGCGTCGCACGAGGAGGTGGAGCAGTGCTCGTCCACCGACGCCTGGGGCGCGTCCAGCCAGCCCTACGACTCCTTCATGCTGATGCACCACGACCTCGACGTGTGCACCAACTCGCTGCAGGTCAGTGCTCGTGCACCGACGCCTGGGGCGCGTCCAGCCAGCCCTACGACTCCTTCATGCTGATGCACCACGACCTCGACGTGTGCACCAACTCGCTGCAGGTCAGTGCGCGTCTACCTTACAGCTGCGAAGGATACCTCCGCCGAATTCTATGTCAATAATAAGGCTAAGATTTGATTTCAAATAAAAATGAATTGCCTGTAACGTGCTTAGTGAAGTGATAAATGTTAGTTGAAAGAAATATTTATAAATCTAAAGCCCGGTCTGTGAGCACCTAGAATTTTGTCCAATGACCCCTAGCTACCCATCCTTATCGCTCGCGCGTAATTATATTGCCGTCGCGACTGTGCGACTGGCACCCGCAGTGAGTATGTGAGCGCGATAGCAACATAATTACGCGCTAGCGATAAGGATGGGTAGCTTGGGGTCATTGGACAAAATTCTACGTGTTCACAAACCAGACTATAGAGAATGGTTTTATGTCACATGTTCACCCTCGTTCGTATAGTTTTTGCACCAAAACATATCTAAAACTTTTTAAAACTTTTATTTTGTATGTTCGTATTGTTTATATTTTTTTCTGAAAATTGGTAATTAACTTACTTCCTAATTAGTTTTCACGTACATACTCGTAAATACTGTCGCTTACCTGAAACAAATAAAGATTTTTATTAGTAAAAAAAAAAAAAGTAAGGGAATCACGCTACGCTTTTCTACATTACCGAATATATGATGATGAATAGATAAGGTTCTAGTGTATCTCAGTAAATGAATAAGAGTCTCTGACTTAGCCTACAGTTTAGCAAGCTGATGGTGGCAATGAGCAGGGCACATAGCACGCAGAACTGACGGCCGATGGGGTAGTAACATTCTGGAATGGAGGCCACGTACCGGTAAGCCCAGCACGGGACATCCACCCACAAAATGAAATGATTTCATAAAGATTGCAGGGAGACTCTATGTAGGCCGCTACCAACCGGCCAATCTCAAAATCATTAGGGGAAGCCTAATATTTAGCAGTGGACGTCTTGCCATCATCATCATCATTTCAGCCACGCTAAATCAACATGATACACTCTTGTGTGTATCTAAAAATTAGTACTAAAGTGTGCCTACGTTTCAGTAAAAAAATCATATAATGGTGCGTCCACACTGGGCGAACGGGCTCGCGCGGCAAACTCGATATCCTGCTCACCCTGCTCTTGAGTGAGCAGGATGTCGAGTTTGCCGCGCGAGCCCGTTCGGGTAAAGGTCGCGGGAAGAGCCTGGATGCGGGCAGCGCAGGACCGTTCATTGTGGAAAACCTTGGGGGAGGCCTTTGTCCAGCAGTGGACGTCATTTGGCTGAAACGAACGAACGAACGGTCGACACATCAGGCGGCGGCGAGGCCCCGTGGTGTCCAGCGACGAGCTGAGCGGCACAAGCACCAGAAGCAGCTCGACCACGACACGGCGCACACCGCCTTCCTCAGTGAGTACACTCGCACAGTGTCGGTCGACACATCAGGGTACCGGAGGCCCAATTGGGGGGGAAAGGGATTTAAAAGGTTGGCAGCGCACTTGTGACTTCACTGATGTTGCGGGTGTACATGGGCAACGGCAATTGCTAACCATCAGGTGATCCGTATGCTCGTTTGCCTCCAGTCACATAAAAAAAAGCACTTGCACCAGTGTCAGTCGGCCAACACATATCGTCACGCAGTATCATGGCGACCATAGCGAGAGGCGCGAATGAGTGCTCGGCAGGTGATATGGTGGCGCCTTCAATCGTAAATCAAGCGCATACCGCCTTCCTCAGTGAGTAGTAAGTAGTAGTGTCTCGCAGTATCATGGCAACCATAGCGAGAGGCGCGAGTGAGGGCTCGACGGGTGATATGGTGGGGAACACTGCCTTCAATCGTAAGTCAAGCGCATACCTTCCGCCAGTGTGGCAGGCCCTTAAAAATTTACTTGTGTTTCAGTCGAGCTGGTGAACTCCCAAGTGGTCCTGAAGGGGTGCGAGACGCGCGGCTACGTGTTGCTGTGCGCAGCGCGCGCCGAAGTGCGCCAGCGAGTGCGCCGCTCGCCGCCCGCCACCGCCTGGTGCGGCGCGCTCTCCGCCATGCAGTACTACGCCACCGTCAGCGCCGCCCTCGGCGACCAGCTCGACGGTGAGAGAGTAGGGCGCGGATAGATGACCATGACCATGACCATGACACATGACCATGACCATGACCATGACCATGACACATGACCATGACCATGACCATGACCATGACCATGACCATGACCATGACCATGACCATGACCATGACCATGACCTTGACCATGACCATGACCATGATGCATGACCATGACCACGACACATGACCATGTAGGCGACTTAGTCGGTACTATGCCAAAAGTATGACACTCCTTATGTTTAATCTCATAGACATCTTTACATGGCTATCACATTCAAATAAACAGTTAGGGGCAAACCAGTGCACAGACACTTCACTTATCCCAACCCAATCTGTCCAGCTTTTAAAGTCAGAACTTCTGGCAATCATTCGCAATCATTTTATATTAGATCGTTGCATCCTTCAGAATATTAGACTAAATCAAACTTCTTATTCTCATTTCAGAGAATATACAATGGGTGTCAGTAGAAGAAATATCCGAGCGATGGGCAGGAACAGAGATCAGTACATTGCCGGACGTGCCGCGCCTGGTGGGCAGCGGCCACTCCGCGGGCGGCGTCATCGGGAGAACCGTGGGGCCCAGCGCCGACACTGGCCTTGCACAGGTATGTTGTCACTTGCAGAGGTTTCAGTAGAGGAGAATTGCCAAAAGTGGTAGAGGACGGGGTACAAATCTCGTAGAGTAGATGGCCGCTGGGACAGAAAAGTTCTCGAGTGACGACCATGAGCCGGAAGACTTAGTGAGGGCAGGCCCTTCCAATAGGTGGACCGACAATCTGGTGAAAGTCGTGAGAAGAACCAGAATGCGGGCAGCGCAGGACCAGTCGTTGTGGAAATCCTTTGGAGGAGGCCTTTGTCCAGCAGTGGACGTCATTTGGCTGAAATAACTAGCAGAGGAGATATGTGAGCGCTGTGCGGGAACAGAGATCAGTACGTTGCCGGACGTGCCGCGCCTGGTGGGCAGCGGCCACTCCGCGGGCGGCGTCATCGGGAGAACCGTGGGGCCCAGCGCCGACACTGGCCTAGCACAGGTATGTTATACCCTGTAGAGAACATCCAATGGCGGCGTCATTGGGAGGACTGTCGCGTCCAGTGCCTACACTGGTCTAGCGCAGGTACGTTGTAGTTCTGTGTATAAACAGGCTCAAGGAATTGGATCTAATTTCGAAGAAAAACAAATGGTCCTTCGAGCCGGATAAGCGAAAGTAAAGTGCAAGTATGAACTAGTAAAATCAGTGCTTCAAAGTTGAAAAAAAAACAAACGATTTTTTGTAAAATAACATTTCGTATTCAACATAACGAATTGATTTGAAAATTATAAATAACTTGAAAAAATCGAACTGCCTAAGGCGGGAATTGAACCCACGACCTTCCGCTTGCCGGGCGACTGCTCTTCCAACTTCCATAACGAATTGATGTTTTTTGTCGAAGAGACAAAAATTTAATAGTGTCAAAATTTAAGTATTTGTCTTAATAATGGGTTTTCAACCCCACGAATTGAATGCAATTATTTTTACTGGGAAACCATTGTCCGCAGCTGCAAAGGATAGTGTCGCGCTGCGCGTGCGAGTTCTACTACGCGTCGCACGAGGAGGTGGAGCAGTGCTCGTCCACCGACGCCTGGGGCGCGTCCAGCCAGCCCTACGACTCCTTCATGCTGATGCACCACGACCTCGACGTGTGCACCAACTCGCTGCAGGTCAGTGCGCGTCTACCTTACAGCTGCGAAGGATTGTGTCGCACTGCGCGTGCGAGTTTTACTACGCGTCGCTTACCTGAAACAAATAAAGATTTTTATTAGTAAAAAAAAAGGTAATGGAATCATGCTATGCTTTTCTACATTACTCAAGTGTTCTTCCCTATTAGCTCTGTTGGCGGTGTATTCTTCAGCAGTAAAGGAAATTAATGTCGAATGGACAAGTTTTGTGATGTTGAAGCCCGTTCGCACAGTGTGGACGCACCATTAAATTGTCACGTTAAGACCCGTGTTTCTCTATTTCAGTACGCGATGCTCCTGGACGTGGTGAACAACGTGGTGCTGCACGTGGAGCCGGAGCGGCGGCGCACGCTGGAGCGGCGCGCGCGCATGCGCTTCCAGCTGCAGCTGCACCGCGACGCCGACCCGCGCCAGCTCATACACAAGCTGCAGACGCAGGTAGCTACACTAGCGACCACACATGTACTATACTACACCATGCGCACGCTGGAGCGGCTCCAGCTGCAGCTGCACCGCGACGCCGACCCGCGCCAGCTCATACACAAGCTGCAGACGCAGGTAGGTGTAGCGACCATTATGGACTAAGGGCTCGGTAATACTATCATACAGTATTGTAACTTCATATAAACAGACGAAACACAAACTTTACTTCGAATTTCAAATCTCGGGACGCGCTCGAGATGCAAAAGTCGGGGGTGTCCCAAATTCGCCGCAGTAACGAACGGATGTCGCTGGCCTAGTGTTGAAAATTACTAAAGTGATTGAATTTGACTAACCGTCATTTATGATCAAATTGGTCAAAAACTAGTCATTAACTATCAAAAATGGTAATTTTCAGTCAGTTTGATTTGAAATGAAAATTATATATTGTATAAACAAGCTTTTGCCCACGGCTTCGCCCGCCTGGATGCACATGTCCATCTAAAATGATGAGGGTTATCTGATTTCATGTCATTTAGTCTTCGGAAATTTTATCTATTCTGCTTCTATGTTGCCCTGACCAAATCATCTTTCCCCTAAGACATAACCACTTTTTGTTGCTGCGGTATGGTTATGAAAGTGAACGTCTCGTTCCGAAATTAGGAATCGAATACCACCAGTAATAATACCACTAGAGCTATCAAAAATAAAAATTCACGTTTGATGCTGTTTTTAGGTATTGTTTTTCCAAGTCAACTGATCGAATGTGAATGTTTTTGAATGACAATACAATGAGTTATCAAAAACATATTAATTCACCTGTTTGCGATTATTCACGGTATACAGTGTACTTGATTAGTCAAACATGGTTATAAAATTCGTCATCGATGAACAAGTCTTCGGTAGTATAGTGGTCAGTATCCCCGCCTGTCACGCGGGAGACCGGGGTTCGATTCCCCGCCGGAGAGTTTTTTTTTGTTATTTGAGAAGCAATTTGTTTTGGCATTTAAAAACCAATGCTATGTCAAATTGATGATTTCCTGAAGAATAAATTTTATTACATAATGATGATTACATTGTGTATTTAATACATGATTTTTGAGATGCAGACTTATGATTAAGAATGTAAAGGAAGTGATTAAGTAAAGGTAATGATTAGATAAAGGTCTAATTCATAAAATACTTAAATAAATCTTTATATGACTCAAAGGTCCTATGTCCCCTAGATGGGGCAGAGGGCGTCCACAACACTCCTCCATGATACATTCGGTCTTGAGCTTCGCGTTTGATCTCGCTCCAGGTTATGAAACATGATATTATTATTATTATGAAAAAAGTTTTAAGTCGCTTATTTTTTTTTAAACGACACTGATAAATGCTTTTTCTTCAGCGAAGTTAGGTGCGAGAGTAGAAACCATTTCTAAAATAATAAGCTAAAATAAAAATAAAATGAATGCAAAAAGTTCTCTCCGGCGGGGAATCGAACCCCGGTCTCCCGCGTGACAGGCGGGGATACTGACCACTATACTACCGAAGACTTGTCAATGTCAGGCGAATTTTATAATCTGTTTTGGTTAGTCGAATTATTTTGAATCGCGATTGTGACTAATAATGCGCAAACAGGTGATTAATAAAATATTACTTTATCTTTTGTGTATGTAATTGGTATGTAATTAATTCAGCATTAGTAATGAACGATAACGACTCACACTTTTATGCAAATAGATATTAATTATAATTCAGTAGAAATACCTATTTTGTTTCTTGGACGTAGGTAATGACACAGTCACGAAACCTAGAATTTTTATGCATGTTTATTGTTCATTATTTTTTAATGGAGATTTAATAGTGTGATAGTATTTAATAAACTAATACTATGGCACTGTTGTCATTATTTCATATTTTTCATTTATTGTGGATTGAACAAATTTGAAACTTCAATTATGTATGTTTCTTCTCAATACTATGTCTTTATTTTATGTTCAGGTGAGGGAATCCTTGGCGAGGCTACGGCGGCTTGAGAAGGAGTACTACCTCAAGAACCGGTCCATCACCGGGGATGACCCGGTCGCCTTCGAGGAGCTTAAGAGCCTCGACAATCAAGTGAGTGTAAAAAGTAATATTATATTTTAAAAGTAACTTTTAAAATAAAATATTGATGAGACTAATCCCTTCCCCAGCTCTTTTTCTCATAATTTGTTCTGTTATTTTTACGCAACTAGACATCTTCCCGAACAAGAGTTTCGATCTGTGTTAGATTTGTATTTTGTCTTTACGCATCTTAGGCAACCTGTGCAATGATTATGCGCGTGCGCAGGTGAGCATTTAAAACTTTACTGTAGCATCGGGTCCTCCAGTCAAGTGAATTGCTGTTTTAAATAAATCAAATAAAAATAACTAGGCAGCTGCCTAACCAATAATCTTGCGCGCACGCAAGTGAATGAGTGCAAGGAAGTAGGCCGATTTTGAGCTTAGTTCTGTAATAAGAACCTTACTCAGTTGCACTCACTCTACTCACAGTTGTTAATACCTAGACCATTGTTTCCAAAAGTGGGGGGCGCAAAGACCTTTAAAGGGGGGCGCGGGCCATCTGTGTACTTAAGTATAAAAAATCTGCGACCGCTGAGAGAATGCATTCCAGACTGCTCGATACGACCAATAAACAATGACTGGAGGAGGGGGGGCGCGGAATTTTCTGTATGGTCGAAAGGGGGCGCGTCTCAAATAAGTTTGTGAACCAACCTAGACACAAGGGTCTAGGTTGGTTAATCACTTTTTTGTGTGCGTACACAGGTGAACGAATGCAAAGAAGTGGTGNAAAGTTAGCCTATTAATTTAAAACAGATACGACTGTACTCAGTGTTGCACTATCAAATGCAATTGACGCGCCTCTATGCCAGGGTTTTTATGTTCCTGGTCAGGCTATAAGTCGCTTATTTTTTTTTAAACGATACTGATAAATGCTTTTTCTTCAGCGAAGTTAGGTGCGAGAGTAGAAACCATTTCTAAAATAATAAGCTAAAACAAAAATAAAATACAAAAAAAGGTTCTCTCCGGCGGGGAATCGAACCCCGGTCTCCCGCGTGACAGGCGGGGATACTGACCACTATACTACCGAAGACTTGTCAGTGCCAGGCGAATTTTATAATCTGTTTTGACTAATCGAATTATTTTGAATCGCGATTGTGACTAATAATGCGCAAACAGGTGATTAATTAAATATTACTTTTATCTTTTGTGTATGTAATTGGTATGTAATTAATTCAACATTAGTAATGAACGATAACGACTCACACTTTTATGCAAATTCAGTACAAATAACTATTTTGTTTCTTGGACGTAGGTAATTACACAGTCACGAAACCAAGAATTTTTATGCATGTTTATTGTAAATAATTACTTTTTAATCTAGAATTTATAGTCTGATAGTATTTTAACAAAATCCAAGCATGATTCGCGTGTTCATAATACCATGTCAATGCTACAGCTACGGCACTATCATTATTTTTTTCTGCCAATTATGGATTTCAATAATTTGAAACTTTTTAGTTTTGTATGTTTCTCCTTAATACTATGCCTCTATGTTATGTTCAGGTGAGAGAATCCTTGGCGAGGCTACGGCGGCTTGAGAAGGAGTACTACCTCAAGAACCGGTCCATCACCGGGGATGACCCGGTCGCCTTCGAGGAGCTTAAGAGCCTTGATAATCAAGTGAGTGTAACCAGTATCATATTTCACATTAACTTTTTAAATAAAATATTGATGGGACTAATCCCTTCCCTAGCTCTCTTACTCATAATTTGTTCTGTAATTTATACGCAACTATACATCTGTCCGAACAAGAGTTTCGATCTGTGTTAGATTTGTATTTTGTCTTAATATGCCAAATAAATGTTTTTCTAATCTATTCTATATTACGCATCTTATAATGCATATAATATAATATCTTATATGAATTTGAATTAGACAGCCTGTGCAATGATCATGCGCGTGCGCAGGTGAGCACTTAAAACTTTACTGTAGCATTGGGACCTCTTGTCACGGCAGTGAAATGTTGTTGTAAAAAAATAAAACAAAAAGACAGCTGCTTTACCAATAATCATGCGTGCGCGCAGGTGAATCAGTGCAAGGAAGTAGGCCGATTTTAAGCTTCGTTCTTGTAATAAGAACCTTACTCAGTTGCACTCACCCTACTCACAGTTGTTAATACCTAGACCATTGTTTCCAAAAGTGGGAGGCGCAAAGACCTTTAAAGGGGGGCGCGGGCCATCTGTGTACTTAAGTATGAAAAATCTGCGACCGGTGAGAGAATGCATTCCAGACTGCTCGATACAACCAATAAACAATGATTGGAGGAGGGGGGGCGCGGAATTTTCTGTGTGGTCGAAAAGGGGCGCGTCTCAAATAAGTTTGGGAACCAACCTAGATCCTTGTTTAACCACTTTTTTTGCGTAAACAGGTGAACGAATGCAAAGAAGTGGTCNGGACAGCTAGGGATCGCTGACCTGCTGCTGACTAACTTCTTGTGAGTTGATATTACTATTGAGCAGATCGAGCCACGGGCGCGGACAGCTCGAACTCTAAGATCGAATCTTAGCGCGATAAATTGCCTACTAATAACGGCGCTTAAAGTGCAGGCTCAAATGTTATTATTTTGTTATTTTACAGTCTCAATTATTTTTATAAATTGTTTCTTTAGGTACACCAAGACATCCCGGTCGGATGATTCCGTGGAACACCAGCTCGAAGTTGGTTACGTGCGAGTGACCAACCTGCTGCCCAATGAACCATTCCCAGAGGTACGTAGTTTCACTGATTTACAGGAATAAACTAACATGTTGAATTTTACGGTTAAAGACATTTTTTTCTCAAAAGAATGTTAAAAATTTACTTACAGAGAAAATACACAGATAATATTAATTACTTTTGCTATTTTTTCGATACTACCCTAAAATGAATACGCTCTTATGTTGCCTCAGTTTCAGACAGGCTTTGCGAAGTCAGATTTTTGGGAGCATCCCATAGCTATATTCTGTGGTATCACTACCTTGCCTTTCGGTACTACATAACCGATAGTTTCATCTTCATAGGCGGCACCTGCCGCGAAGATTATATCTGTCTGTATGTATATTATCCTATCGTTTAGTATTATCTTTCTCGCAGGTGTTAGTACCGCAAGCGCCGTCAGGGCGAGCGCCACTAGCGCGCCGCGCGGCGCTGCGTGTGTTTTGCCGCGACCGCCCGCCGGTGGGCGGCATCGCTGTCAAGGAGCACTTCGAGGTCAACATCGTGCCCATAAGGATCGGTACGTTAGAAATACGGGACTATTCCCACCTCTCGTTCCCACCACTGCAACTCCTGTGTAGCCAGGATCTACAGCTTGACCGCCACAAAAACCCAACCAATGAAGGTCAAGTTTGTCCCGGGGGAAAGTTAAAGTGTCATTGGACCCGCAACGAAATTAATTAGAAGAACATAGGAGGAGTTCGAAATTAAGGTTCGACTTTCCTCCATTGCAAAGCGGATGACAGGTGACAAACAAAGGTACGTTAGAAATAGTATAAAAAGATGTAGTAATCATTTAATTTGTCACCATTTTAAGGGAGCCATACATAACCCTAAACCTCACAAGAACAATGAAATGATAGTTGATGCTTTACTATGATGAGCGATTGTATAGCGATGCGTTTGGATGCTAGTCATTTATTTTAAATGAATAGGGATCTCGCTGTCTTTTATTATACTGTTCCACTTTGTTCACCTGGGTGATATCACTTGGGTGAACAAAGTGGATTTTTAGTGTCCTCATTTCACCTCGAAACCATTTCACCCAAAGGTGGTTTGTTGGTTGTCTATTGCCCGTTTTCACCATCAATCCCTAATTTTAAAGCGACCTTTATGAAATATTAGGTAATACCTAACAGGAATTTCGTTTTCACCAACACATAAGGGACACCTTAGGCCTTATGGGAGCACTTTAAAACAGGGGCCCGATTTTCGGCCGCCTAAGTGTTAGGTGACAGTTATATATTGTCAATCACGCCTATTCGGCAAAATGGAAACTGAATGAAATGATTTTTTTGAAGCTTTTTATGCAATTGAGACAGTGGAAACACTTTTTCACTCAAGTTTATTCAGGCGGCTACATAAAAATATTATAGAGTGAGACAGGATTACATACGGTATAGATAGTAGGTTTTGGTCACTCATAACTTATCTCATAACCAAGCTATATTTCTGGCTTCGTTTGTAGTCCCTAGAGCCCTAACAATACCTTATAATTAGATATAATAAAGATTTGATAGGAAGGAGGGCTGCACTAAGGCTTTCTTGGCCTCAGTGGGGGTAAATGAAACACAACGCGGACGGTTGATATCTGGTTTATTACTGTTATGCTATTGCTATATACAAGATTTACACAATTCAATGTGTCCAGTCCAATGTGCCGTCGGTGTAGAGTGCCTACAGTGCACGTTGAGAGTTCATGAGCCAGTCGGCTAGCACGTAGGTCGCGGTCGATGCTGACGTGCTTGAACCGACCAGCACGTTACACAGCGGGCCCCGGGGCCGCCGCGCCGCACCGCTACAACGAGATATGCTTCAAGTCCGCCAGGTGGCGCCTTACGGATGCTGACGGACAGCTGGGGATCGCTGACCTGCTGCTGACTAACTTCTTGTAAGTTCACATTACTTGACAGCATATCAAGCCGAACACTACAGTTATTATGTAGTTGTTATAAGAGCTATAACAAAAAATCTACTCATAAGCTATGATAATGCTAATCGCTCAGGCCCTTTAGAAAAATAACCATATGTACGCCAATGCTTGTCTCCCTTTTTCCAATGGTTATAAAGATTTTACTGTTTTGTTCTTATTTATCTTCTATTTACCTTATTTGTTTAGATACACCAAGACATCCCGGTCGGATGATTCCGTGGAACATCAGCTCGAAGTTGGTTACGTGCGAGTCACCAACTTGCTGCCTAATGAACCATTCCCAGAGGTAATCTATTACATACATAGTTATATAATAATTTTGTCATTTTGTCCATGTCTTTATGAAATGATTCTTCACCTTCTGAAGCCACATAAAATACAAATGGCGTCTTAATGACGCCGGGAAGTTCAAATAGGCTTTTTCTCCTGTGCGCGAAATCGTGTAACTTTCAGAGACAAATGGTCAATCCCATTTGGTGTCATGGTTAGCATATCGGACAATACTATGCCAGAGTATTTGAGTTCAGTCCCCGCACAAGACAAACATTTGTGTTCATGAACTACGTATAATATTTGCTTACAGCCGGTTCACACATGTCTCCGTTTTACTGTTCCGTTTTATCGTGTACGTTTTTTGTATGTATTACTGTATACAGAATACTGTGTCATGTGTGAAGTCGCTCATACAACTACATACGCCATCGACGAAAAAAAAACGTACACGATAAAACGGAACAGTAAAACGGAGACATGTCTGAACCGGGGGTTAGTTTGGGGCTAGTGCTTTCCCAGAATAATTGTGTATTTCCTATTCGCAGGTGTTAGTTCCGCAAGCGCCATCAGGGAGAGCGCCACTAGCGCGCCGCGCGGCGCTGCGTGTGTTCTGCCGCGACCGCCCGCCGGTGGGCGGCATCGCTGTCAAGGAACACTTCGAGGTCAACATCGTGCCCATACGGATCGGTACGTTAGAAATACGGGACTATTCCCACCTCTCGTTCCCACCACTGCAACTCCTGTGTAGCCAGGATCTACAGCTTGACCGCCACAAAAACCCAACCAATGAAGGTCAAGTTTGTCCCGGGGGAAATTTAAACTGTCATTGGACCCGCAACGAAATTAATCAGAAGAACATAGGAGGAGTTCGAAATTAAGGTTCGACTTCCCTCCATTGCAAAGCGGATGACAGGTGACAAACAAAGGTACGTTAGAAATAGTATGAAAAGATGTAGTAATCATTTAATTTGTCACCATTTTAAGGGAGCTGTACGTAACCCTAAACGTCACAAGAACAAGTTTTTTTATAATACGTAGCAAATGAAATGATAGTTGATGCGTTACTATGATGAGCGATTGTATAGCGACGCGTTTGGATACTAGTCATTTCTTTTAATGAATAGGAATCTCGCTGTCTTTTATTATGTTGTTCCACTTTGTTCACCTGGGTGATATCACTTGGGTGAACAAAGTGGATTTTTAGTGTCCTCATTTCACCTCGGAACCATTTCACCCAAAGGTGGTTTGGTGGTTGTCTATGACAGGCTAAGGCCTTTTTAAATGTAAAGCTAGACTCGTCCTTTACATAAGTCTCAATACCTCAAATATCTAATAGATTGACGCTCCAACATCCTTCCAAAGTCTCCTCGTTCAGAATATTATAAATTCTACTTTCTACTCCTATTCTAAATTACTAACAAGTCTTATTCCTTAGGCCTAACCAAGAAGTTCTTCAACACAATGCTGAAGTTCTGCTTTCCTGAACGCGACCCGGAATCCATCGAAGACGGCGACGACGAGGAGGGCGCGCGCTCCGGGCTGGTGCCCGCCGGCTCCAAGAAGGCCAAGAAGAAGCCCAAGGACTCCAACTCCAACTTCTACGTCAAGAGGGACAAGAAGGACAAAGACGATGTTGAGAAGATGAAGGTTTGTACAACTTAGAAAAGTTTGGATTGTTTACGCTTGGTTACGCTGTTACTGGGTTACGCTTGCGCACCCAAAGGATGTATAATAGAACTTTTTTGGAGTAAGTAAGTAGCAAATAGTGCCCGCCGGCTCCAAGAAGGCCAAGAAGAAGCCCAAGGACTCCAACTCCAACTTCTACGTCAAGAGGGACAAGAAGGACAAAGACGATGTTGAGAAGATGAAGGTTTGTACAACTTAGAAAAGTTTGGATTGTTTACGCTTGGTTACGCTGTTACTGGGTTACGCTTGCGCACCCAAAGGATGTATAATAGAACTTTTTTGGAGTAAGTAAGTAGCAAATAGTGCCCGCCGGCTCCAAGAAGGCCAAGAAGAAGCCCAAGGACTCCAACTCCAACTTCTACGTCAAGAGGGACAAGAAGGACAAAGACGATGTTGAGAAGATGAAGGTTTGTACAACTTAGAAAAGTTTGGATTGTTTACGCTTGGTTACGCTGTTACTGGGTTACGCTTGCGCACCCAAAGGATGTATAATAGAACTTTTTTGGAGTAAGTAAGTAGCAAATAGTGCCCGCCGGCTCCAAGAAGGCCAAGAAGAAGCCCAAGGACTCCAACTCCAACTTCTACGTCAAGAGGGACAAGAAGGACAAAGACGATGTTGAGAAGATGAAGGTTTGTACAACTTAGAAAAGTTTGGATTGTTTACGCTTGGTTACGCTGTTACTGGGTTACGCTTGCGCACCCAAAGGATGTATAATAGAACTTTTTTGGAGTAAGTAAGTAGCAAATAGTGCCCGCCGGCTCCAAGAAGGCCAAGAAGAAGCCCAAGGACTCCAACTCCAACTTCTACGTCAAGAGGGACAAGAAGGACAAAGACGATGTTGAGAAGATGAAGGTTTGTACAACTTAGAAAAGTTTGGATTGTTTACGCTTGGTTACGCTGTTACTGGGTTACGCTTGCGCACCCAAAGGATGTATAATAGAACTTTTTTGGAGTAAGTAAGTAGCAAATAGTGCCCGCCGGCTCCAAGAAGGCCAAGAAGAAGCCCAAGGACTCCAACTCCAACTTCTACGTCAAGAGGGACAAGAAGGACAAAGACGATGTTGAGAAGATGAAGGTTTGTACAACTTAGAAAAGTTTGGACTGTTTACGCTTGGTTACGCTGTTACTGGGTTACGCTTGCGCACCCAAAGGATGCATAATAGAACTTTTTTGGAGTAAGTAAGTAGTAAATAGTAAAGTTAATAGTTGGAGTTGGAGTCCTTGATACTACATCAAGGACTCCAACTCGCAACTTCTACGTCAAGAGGGACAAGAAGGACAAGGACGATGTCGAGAAGATGAAGGTGAGAGGAATGTGATACGATCGGTTTAGTTTGGATTGCGCTTGCGCACCCTAATAGGACCGTTGTATCAAGGACTCCAACTCCAACTTCTACGTCAAAAGGGACAAGAAGGACAAAGATGATGTTGAGAAGATGAAGGTGAGAGGAATGTGATACGATCGGTTTAGTTTGGATTGCGCTTGCGCACCCTAATAGGACCGTTGTATCAAGGAGTCCATTTCATCCTCCGTAAAGAGGGATAAAAAGGGTAAGGACCATGTGGAAACGATGAAGGTTTGTACAACTTAGAAAAGTCTGGACTGTTTTGTGTTTGGGTTACGTTTGCGCACCCAGAGGGTTCTAATTTGACTGTAGTATCAAGAACTTCAACTTCTACGTCAAGAGGGATAAGAGGGACAAAGACGATGTAGGGAAGATCAAGGTTTGTGATCGTTTTGGGTTGCGCTTACGCACCCAAAGGATGTCAATAGGATCCTCCGTTGTTCTTCGGTCTGCCTTTCAGCAAGTTGTATCATGAACTATAATAGGTAGATAGTATAAAATATACGTTAAACAAACGTCATTATTGGCGTATTTATTTAGATATTTAATAATAAAAATAGAAGTTTGAAATATTTAGAAAGTATGAAATACATTTCAACAGTTATTATTGACGTATGATTTGTGGTATGTAAATATGACACATTTTTACAAATCATGACAGGTTAGTTTATTATATTGCGGTCAGTAATTCACGGGAAAGGCCCACACTAATAATGCGTGCAAATATGTAATACTGATAAGCAGTTAGATAAAAAAAATGAAATTCTAATTGATAGAACTAGATATACGGAATTAGTTTTGTACGTTGTATTAAAGAAGTAACGAATGTGAATGAACTAAACCGAATTATTAGTCATTTTTAATTGATTTATATTCTAATGAACTGTTATGTGACTTCCACACGTAGTCTACCTATTCATTAATAAATTAATCTTAATATGTACGAGCACATAATTGTGTCTAGATTACACTTAATCTGTAGGCCTAAGATGCACGCCGTGATAGGCGGTTATCACGCCATTTTATCGATTTTGCCCATACAAATTGACGCCGATAAAAGTTATCACGGCGCGCATCTTAGACTCATCATTATAATGACGAATTTAATGGTTAGAAAGAGAGATAGAAAAAATAAAGAAAGATGGAAGAAGTAGCAGCACCGGTCTGCTGTTTTCTCGCTAGATAAGTAGTAGAACAATAAATAACAAGTACTGACTGATTCTGACTTTTCAATCAACAGGAACGCGCAGAAAAGAACAAACTGTTCATCTACATCAAGATTCCCGAGGTGCCCGTGCGCGTATCTTACAAGGGCAGCAAAGAAAAGAATCTAGAAGACGTCAGGGACCTACCCTTGGTGCTGCCCACTCTGGAGTATCACAACGTCACGTGGACGTGGCTTGACCTGCTGCTGGCCACCAAGAGCGACACAAGGAGGTAACGTAGCACTCCACGGAGGGACCAAGCAGAATTCTGCCACTGTCTATTATGTTATATCTGTATACTTTATTCCTTCTTTTCAAAAGTAATTCTTTGTCAAAGTCAAAGTCAAAGTCAAAATTTCTTTATTTGTTTGGACTAATAAATAGTTCTTACAAAACGTCATTTTGCTCTTAAGGAGCCTCTACATGTCTCATAATCTTTTTACCCTACCAGCGCTTCGAGACCAACATTTGGCAAGTGCTGAGAAGAAGCGCCGCAACAAACTCAGTCACCACTGTCTGCCGGATAATATAAATATATAGAAATAGTAGTAGTAGGTACATTCGATTCAGGAGCAGTTCACTGAATTTACCATGCATTCTTGTATGGTGTATCTTATAAGAATGGGTATACAAGATTGCGTGGTATATTACATCACACTTATTGTGAAGAATTAATATTAGAATTTTTTGTTGATTAAACTAAAAATAATGATTATTATCTAGCCTCAAACAAAGCAGAGCTGGTTTTCTGATCACAATTCAACGAATAAACTACAATTTGCTACTTGTGGAATTTGAACCCCTAACCGTAGTATCGGGACTATTCCCACCTTTCTTTCCCACCGCTGCAACTACTGTGTAGCCAGGATCTACCGCAGTAGGCGTCATACTAGTACGCGAACATTTCTAACCATTATCAAATAGCAAAGACTAAACTGTATAATACAGGTTGATCCTAGTACACGACCCTCCTTCGTTCGTTCGTTTCAGCCGAAAGACGTCCACTGTTGGACAAAGGCCTCCCCCAAGGATTTCCATAAAGACCGCTCCTGCGCCGCTCGCATCCAGTCACCTCCTGTGATCTTCACCAGATCTTCGGTCCTCCTAGTGGGAGGCTTCGTTCGTCTTCCGGCTCGTGGTCGCCACTTAAGAACTTTCCTGCCCTAGCGGCCATCAGCTCTACACGACCTTCCTTAACCGACACTTCATAGTAAAGACTAAATTACACTATGTACAGGGTGATCCTGTCGCAAGCAATCCGGCAGAAACTACAGCTGCACAGACGAGCCGCCGCCGCGCCCGAGCCCCACGAGGAAGACAAGGCCCGCCTGCTACTGGGAGAGAGGACCGTGAGTGACCATACCTCTTAATAATAGCGAGGGAGGTGCGTGGACCTCTGATAGTCAATACAGAGCGTGATCCTGTCGCAAGCGGTCCGTCAGAAGCTGCAGCTGCATAGACGAGCCGCATGAGACGGAAAAGGCCCGCCTACTGCTACTGTGAGAGAGGACCGTTAGTGACTATACCTCTTAATAATATTAGCGAGGGGGGGCTGTAGGTGTGTGGACCTCTGATAGACAATACAGAGAGTGATTCTGTCGCAAGCGGTCCGCCTCACGAGGAGGACAAGGCCCGCCTGCTTTTTGGAGATAGGACCGTAAATGACCATTCCTCTTAATAATATTAGCGAGTGGCCAGCTGTAAGTGCGTGGCCCTCATAGTCAATACACAGGGTGAATCTGTCGTAAACGATCCGTCAGAAGCTGCAGCTGCATAGACGAGCCGCATGAGGAGGAAAAGGCCCGCCTGCTAGAGAGAGGACCGTGAGTGCATACCTCTTAATAATAATACTAGCGAAGGGAGAGCTGTAGGTGCGTGGCTGTCCAATAGTGAGTAGTGTCTTTAATTCTTTATTTTTATTGCATTCCATGTTGTAAATTTTTACCCGACTGCGCGACGCCAAAGAGTGGTAATGTGTTTATAAAATGATAGGTTAATTTGGTCCTGGCGTCTTGGCTTGCCTTAGGCTACTATACACACTACTGTCCACAGAGCGACAACGTAGCGCATTCGTCAAGTTACGGACCGTGGACAGTGTGCCTTAATCAGCCGTCTAGGAGATGAGTTGCAAGAACAGCACCTATGCTCCAGGTTGGAAGTGTAAAATGTCATAACGCCATTACGCGATATTGCGCCCCGCAGACTGACCCTCGACAACCTTAGCCGTTCACACTAATGTTACTGCCCTCGCTACCATCCGTCAGAAAAGGCTGCTCATTTAGTGCCATTTTTGATGCGGATTTTGGCACGCGTGCGGATTTAGTCCGCATTTTAATATTAAAAGAAGAACGGTCATTTGTGACCCAGGCCCGACAGAAACGAGACATACCTCAGTTTTTTTGTCATGTCTTAATTAGTTAAATTATATATTTTTTATATTCGAAATCTATGTATAACACTAAAATATTACCCTTTGTTTTTGTTCAGGCGTTATACAAAAACTAATACAAAATGCCTATTTATTACCAAAATTGGTAAATGTATGTACCTAAATGTCTATTACAGTTGCTATGGAATGTATCTAGGTGACCTGAAGATACAGCTGGATTATACAGGGTGGAAACGAGAAGTTACAAAATCCAAAAATTCAATGTTACCAGATTCCATAAATCTGTAACCTATTATTGGTACCATTTGAAAGAGCTCGTGAAGTACTTTCAGAATCAGTAACTAGTTTTTCGATATCTTGTATAGTTTAGAAATAATCGAGGGAGATCACTTATCGTTCCATATGTATAACCACCCTGTATAATCCGGCTGTATCTCCAGGTCACCTAGATACATTCTATAGCAGCTGTAATAGACATTTAGGTACATACATTTACCAATTTTGGTGATAAATATGCATTTTGTATTAGTTTTTGTATAACGCCTGAACAAAAACAAAGGGTAATATTTTAGTGTTATACATAGATTTCGAATATAAAAAATATATAATTTAACTAATTAAGACATGACAAAAAAACTGAGGTATGTCTCGTTTCTGTCGGGTCTGGGTTTTTTTTGTATGGGGCGTGACCGTTCTTCTTTCATGCATGTTTTCCCTATTACGCGGGCACATATTACGAAATCTTTGGTCATGCGTGCAACCCGCAGCGAGATTTTCCACGCACGCGGACCAGATCCTCACGAGTGCTGAAATCTATATCACAGGAAAAGGCACTTTTTTCGGATAATATAACTCGTGGGTGTCCAATGCACCATGTCTATTAAGCTTTGCAGCGTATTTTTTTATGAACGAATTAAATTATACACGTGTGCCAATTTCGAAACCGCGAACAGGCCACAGCGGATAGAAAGTATTAAATATGAAAAATAAAGAAAATGTTTTATAGATATTTATTTATTTATTTATTTATTTACACTTTTGCACATATAACTGTACAGTGGCGGACTTAATGCCAAGTGGCATTATCTGCCAGTCAACCACAGGTCGAGCAGAGAGACTAAGGCGGTGTAATAAATATATGACGTTTAAATAATATACNCTTGGTGACCTTCCACGTTATGGATTGCGCTTGCGCACCCTTATATGACCGTTGTATCATGGAGTCCAACTCCTACTACTACGTCAAGAGGGACAAGAAGGACAAGGATGACGTCGAGAAGATGAAGGTTTGTGTTTGCTTTGGGTTTGAGTTGCGCTTGCGCACCCTAATAGGCCCGTTGTAATAAGGAGTCCATTTCCTCCTCCGTAAAGAGGGATAAAAAGGGTAAGGACCATGTGGAAACGATGAAGGTTTGTACAACTTAGAAAAGTCTGGACTGTTTTGACCTTGGTTACGCTGTTACTGGGTTACGCCTGCGCACCCAAAGGATGCATAATAGAACTGTAGTATCAAGGACCCCCAACTCCAACTTCTACGTCAAGAAGGACAAGAAGGACAAGGATGATGTGGAGAAGATGAAGGAAGGCACAGTTTAGAAAAGGATTAACTGTTTTGTTTTTAGATTGCGCTTGCGCACCCAAAGGGTCCTAATAGAACCATTGTATCAAGGACTCCTACTCCTACGTTAATAAAGATGATGTCGAGAAGCTGAAGGTTTAGGAAAGTCTGGTAAAGTAAAATTGAAATTCTAATTGATAGAATTAGATATACGGAATAAGTTTTGTACGTTGTATTAATGAAGTAACGAATGTAATGAACTAAATCGAATTAATAGTCATTTTAATTGATCTATATTCTAATGAACTGTTATGTGACTTCCACACGTAGTCTAACTATTCATTAATAAATTAATCTTAATATGTACCAGTACATAATTGAGTCTAGATTGCACTTAACCTGGTCAAGATTCATCATTATAATGACGAATCTAATGGTTAGAAAGAGAGGTAGAAAAAATGAAGAAAGATGAAAGAAGTAGCAGCAGACCGGTCTGCTATTTTCTTGCAAGATAAGTAGTAGAACAATAATATAGGAAGTAATGACTGATTCTGACTTTTCATCAACAGGAACGCGCGGAAAAGAACAAACTGTTCATCTACATCAAGATTCCCGAGGTGCCCGTGCGCGTGTCTTACAAGGGCAGCAAAGAGAAGAATCTAGAAGACGTCAGAGACTTACCCTTGGTGCTGCCCACTCTGGAGTATCACAACGTCACGTGGACGTGGCTTGACCTGCTGCTGGCCACCAAGAGCGACACAAGGAGGTAACGTAGCACTCCACGGAGGGACCAAGCAGAATTCTGCCACTGTCTATTGACATATCTATCTGTCTACTTCATTCCTTCTTTTCAAAAGTAATTCTTTGTGAATTAATCATAGCAATTTTATTATTGTTGATATTAGACTAAAAAGAATAATAATTATCTAGGCTCAAACAAAACAGAGCTTGTTTTCAGACCACAATTTAACGAATAAACTACAATTTGCTACTTGTGGAATTTGAACCCCTAACCGTAATATCGGGACTATTCCCACCTTTCTTTCCCACTGCTGCAACTCCTGTGTAGCCAGGATCTACCGTAGTAAGCGTCATACTAGTACGCGACCCTCCTTACCCGACACTCAATAGCAAAGACTAAATTGTATACAGGATGATCCTACTATAAGAACCTCCCTAACTATGTAATAGCAAAGTATACACTATGTACAGGGTGATCCTGTCGCAAGCAATCCGGCAGAAACTACAGCTGCACAGACGAGCCGCCGCCGCGCCCGAGCCCCACGAGGAAGACAAGGCCCGCCTGCTGCTGGGAGAGAGGACCGTGAGTGACCATACCTCTTAAGAATAGCGAGGGGGAGCTGTAGGTGCATAGCCCTCATAGTCAATACACAGGGTGAATCTGTCGTAAGCGATCCGTCAGAATCTACAGCTCCATAGACGAGCCGCATGAGAAGGAAAAGGCCCGTCTGCTGCTGGGAGAGAGGACCGTAAGTGACTATACCTCTTAATAATAGCAGCGAGTGGCCAGCTGTAAGTGCGTAGCCCTCATAGTTACACAGGGTGATCCTGTCGCAAGCGATCCGTCAGAAGCTGCAGCTGCATAGACGAGCCGCATGAGGAGGAAAAGGCCCGCCTGCTACTGGGAGAAAAGACCGTAAGTGACCATACCTCTTAATAATATTAGCGAGGGGGAGCTGTAGGTGCGTGGACCTCTGATAGTCAATACACAGGGTGATCCTGTCGCAAGCGATCCGGCAGAAACTGCAGCTCTGCACCGAAGCGCCTCACGAGGAGGACAAGGCCCGCCTGCTATTTGGAGAGAGGACCGTAAGTGACCATACCTCTTAATAATAGCGAGGGGAGAGCTGTAGGTGCGTGGCTGACCAATAGTGTCTTTATTTTAATTGCATTCCATGTTAAAAAAAATTACCCGACTGTGCGACGCCAAGGTGTGGTAATGTGTTTATAAAATGATAGGTTAATTTGGTCCTGGCGTCTTGGCTTGCCTTAGGCTACTATACACACTACTGTCCACAGAGCGACAACGTAGCGCATTCGTCAAGTTACGGACCGTGGACAGTGTGCCTTAATCAGCCGTCTAGGAGATGAGTTGCAAGAACAGTACCGGTTGTCGAGGGTCAGTATGCTCCAGGTTGGAAGTGTAAAATGTCATGATAACGCCATTAGGCGATATTGCGCCCCGCAGACTGACCCTCGACAACCTTGGCCGTTTACACCAATGTTACTGCCCTCGCTACCATCCGGCAGAAAAGGGCTGCTCATTTAAAGCCTGGTCCGTGAGCACGTAGAATCCCGTTCGATTCTACGTGCTCACGGACCAGGCTTTAGTGCCATTTTTGATGCGTATTTTGGCACGCGTGTGGATTTAGTTCGCATTTCATTATTTAATACATGTTTTTCCTATTACGCCGGCACCTATCACGCATGACGCGTACAACGCGCAGCGTGATTTTACACGCACGCGGATCAGATCCTCACGAGTGCCGAAATCTACAATACAGGAAAAAGGCACTTTTTTTCGGAAAATATAACTCGTGGGTGTCCAATGCCCATATCTTAAGTTTTAAAGGCTTATTTTCGAGCACCATAATGTCTATTAAGCTTTGCAGTTAACTGTGTGTGCGTAATTTTTTATGAACGAATTAAATTATACACGTGTGCCAATTTCGAAACCGCGCACAGACCACAGCGGATACAAATTATTAATATGAAAAATAAAGAAAATGTTTTATTTACGTACCTATATCTTTCTGATTCTGAGTCGCTCTTAAAAATTTTGCAACTGTGCAAAGTCACCCTGTATACCTACTTGTGAAATTAACTTATCATCTAATTTTTAGGAGTCATAAAAAGAATTCAATGTAAGTTATCAAAGTAACAGTACAAATTGTCCATAACACCTGTATTTTATCAGGATTACAACTTTAGGATCTTACATTGTGCCTATTGATGGCATTTCCTGTATTTTTTTTTGCGGGATTCATTAATAAATAATAATAATAAAAAACCGTTGGACATTTTACAATGCGCCGCTAGTCCCAAACTAAGCAAAGCTTGTACTATTGTCTAGTGACAACGAATATAAATATACTTAAATACTTTTTTTTGTAAATACATACATATTATACATAGAAAACACCCAGACCCGTCACAGAAATTAAAATTCATAATTTCAATTACTGCCCGGCCGGGAATCGAACCCGGGACCTCTCGGCATAGTAGTCCATTCTGAACCACTACACCAAACGGCCGACTTTTCATGAATATACAGTGCTACATGCATCCACATGGTAGCACTTTCAAAAATTTAAAAACAAAAAGCCGAAGAAAGGGTTCATCCCTATTGAAATACACCGCGAAATATGTATCGGAAAAAATCAAATGACGCCGCGATGTAAAGAAGCACAGTGCCATCTATCCGTCGTTCAGATTAATTTTTATAATTTGCGCATGCGGGTTTGGTCGTAAACGCGTGACGCCAGACATAGGGGATGTTGTACAACATCCCCTATGTTTGGCGTCCGTTCGAATCCGTTCCGTCCCGAATGGATATGCAAATAGATATAATATTGTCTGCGGGGCGAATATTGTCGTATAACGTTAATGAAGTTTCGAATGTAGATATCTCCCCAACACGAAAAGCGATCGATCGGGCGAGAGTGACAGACAGACCTACTTAAACGTCGTTAGGGAGTAAGTAGCCCCTCGATTCGCGAAATTTATTTTTCATCAATGGCGGGACCGAGTGCGTTTAGACAGCCGTTCGATCGTATATTATTGACAGATTTCTTAAAGTTATGTGCGCGAATTACTTGTGTATTAATGTTATTGTGAGTGGTGTAGACTTTTTCGGTTAGCTTTACGAGCCGCTAAGCTAAATAACTTATACCACTTTGTATTCGTCACACTCGCGCACAATATTAAACTATTGACTTATTTCTCAGTTGTCATTATTCAGTTTAGTGTGTACCTANCTCGGCTGCACGGCCTGCACGTTTCGGGACGGACTCCTGGGGCACTGGGGTGACTGTGCTGTGGCGCTCCATGAGCCTGTCTAGCTCCTCGCTGCTGGAGACTCGTTCGCGAGCGCCGTTTGGCAACTTAATGAACACATTGCCGTCCATGGACCACACACGCCTCATGCCAAAGTGCTTCCGCGCATTCAAAAACAGGGCTTGCCTTGTCCGCGTTAAAAACTCTGAGATCACAAATGGAGTACCTTTTAGCTGTGTCTTCTTCTTCCATACGAGAGAACGAGTTTCCCGACTGACGAACTTTAAGATGACTGGCCGACTGCGTCCCTCTTTGAATCTCCCGAGCCTATGACATGTAGAGATGGAGGCTGAAGCGATGTTGGGGAGTCCAAGATTATCCTTCAGTAACGTCAGGGTGGCTGACAGTGGGTCTTCATTGTCAACGTCGGGTACACCGGTGATGAGTAGAAATTTACTGCGGTGCCTTGCCTCGATGCCATCCACGACCTTGCTGACCTCCTGAATTTGCCGTCTCAGAAGATCCACAACACCCAGCGTGTGCTCACGGAACGTGTAGAACTCACGGGACAGAGACTTCAAGTTCTCAGATTGAGCTGGAGATGATGCCTTTGTGGCTTGGAGGTGTGCTTCAAACTCGGCCATCCTCTTCATGAGCGACTGCTCGAGTGCGTGCTGGGTTTCAACAATGCTCCCAAGGCTATCCATGATAAAGTGCAGCTAACTCGATTCGTTTGTGCAGTAGAGTGAAAGTGTGAAACAGTCGCCGGCAGGTATGTGCACTTATTTCACCAAATACACATTAGATAAGTTTCACTCCAATATATCTTGTAAAGCGAAGTGTTATGAGTATTTATTGGTGGAATTTGTGAAGAAAATATCCTTTTTACTATTTTTAAAATAGTTTTTTCTGGGGAGCTGATGTGTACGTGTTTGCCGACTACCGCCGAAAAAAGATATACGTAAGATATACGTAACATATTTTTCTAATTCTGAGTCGCTCATAAAAATTGGACAACTGATTGCAAAGTCACCCTGTATACTTGTGAAATGGACTTATCATCCAATTTTAAGGAGTCATAAAAAGAATTCAATGTAAGTTATCAAGTAACAGTACAAATTGTCCATAACGCCTGTATTTTATCAGGATTACAACTTTAGGATCTTACATCATGCCTATTGATGGCATTTCCTGTAATTTTTTTTGCAGGATTCATTAATAAATAATAATAATAAATATCCTTGGACATTTTACACTGCGCCGCTAGTCCCAAACTAAGCAAAGCTTGTACTATTGTCTAGTGAGAACGGATATAAACATACTTTCGTTTTCAGCCAAATGACGTCCACTGCTGGACAAAGGCCTCCCCCAAGGTTTTCCACAATGAACGGTCCTGCGCTGCCCGCATCCAGGCTCTTCCCGCGACCTTCACCAGATCGTCGGTCCACCTAGTAGGAGGCCTGCCCACGCTACGTCTTCCAGCCCGTGGTCGCCACTCGAGAACTTTCCTGCCCCAACGGCCATCGTCTCTACGAGCTATTCGGACTATAGACTATACTTTTTTTTGTAAATACATACATATTATTATACATAGAAAACACCCAGACCCGTCACAGAAATTAAAATTCATAATTTCAATTACTGCCCGGCCGGGAATCGAACCCGGGACCTCTCGGCATAGTAGTCCGTTCTGAACCACTACACCAAACGGCCGACTTTTCATGAATATACAGCGTTACATGCATCCACATGGTAGCACTTTCAAAAATTTAAAAACAAAAAGCCGAAGAAAGGGTTCATCCCTATTGAATTACACCGCGAAATGTAGAAAGCCTTCTTTATCGGAAAAAATCAAATGACACCGCGATGTTAAAGAAGCACAGCGCCATCTATCCGTCGTTCAGATTAATTTTTATAATTTGCGCATGCGGGTTTGGTCGTAAACGCGTGACGCCAGACATAGGGGATGTTGTACAGCATCCCCTATGTCTGGCGTTCGTCCGAATCCATTCCGTCCCGAATGGATATGCAAATTGCAAATAGGTATAATATTGTCTGCGGGGCGAATATTGTCGTCTAACGTTAATGAAGTTTCGAATGTAGATATCTCCCCAACACGAAAAGCGAGATGCTAGTATCGATCGGGCGAGAGTGACAGACAGACCTACATAAACGTCGTTAGGGAGTAGACCCTCGATTCGCGAATATTATTTTTCAGTAATGGCGGAACCGGAGTGCCTTTAGACAACAGTTCGATCGTATAATTAGTTCTTTATGTGCGCGTATTACTTGTGTATTAATAAATGTTATCGTGTGAGTGGTGTACACTTTTTCGATAAGCTTTACGAGCCGCTAAGCTAAATAACTTATCCCACTTTGTATTCATCACACTCGCGCACAATATTAAACTATTGACTTATTTCTCAGTTGTCATTATTCAGTTTAGTGTGTACCTACCTAANTGTACCTATCAGGAGTTCAGGACCGATAGTAAGGCGGTTATCACACTGCGCGTGATTTTCCTATAAAAAATCACGCGCGCGGACGCGTTGTCAGTGTGAAGTGCCGCGCGTGTTTTCTATACAAACTGAGGTACTTGCATACAATGATTAAATCTGTCGCCCCGCGCTCCGCGGCGGAGCGCGGCGCAGTGTGATAACCGCCTAAGGCTTCATCATTTAATATTTTTATTTTATGTACGCTTTTCTATTTTAGGTTACCGAAAACAAACCGCAAAAGAAAGGGACTCCGAGCGTGTTCAAGTTTTCCAAATCATAGCGACGCTTCTTCTTCTAGTGCATTTAGGCGAACCGAACCAAATATAGACTTAAATGAATCTAAAGACATTACATTAAGATAATACCTACCTAGTGATAAATTAAGTATTTATTTGTTACTATCACGATACGATATATTACAATATAAATATTTTGAGAGTAATTCGTTCAATTTCGGTAAATGGTTTTAGGTTTTTTGAAGTGCGTAATTTAGTTTTGAATTTATCTGAACAAGTGATCCCAAAGGGGTTCTAAGACTGTGGAAAAAGAGCGAAAGTATAAGTACACAGGCCAAACAAATGAAAATTATGATGACATACTTGGATATTTCACACCATATTGTTAATAATTCCATGGCACAACTTTTGCAACAGGTTTTATCCTGTAAATATAGCTTTTCATTTGCGTTGTGTATGAATTTAATTTGGTTAGTCAATTTAACTCATGTCATCCTAAGATGTTTTTATAGTATATGTCATTGATGTCATCAGCCTGTATTGGCGTACAAAACATGTCTATGTGAAAATTTAGTGATAATCATCGTCAATTGGTTAGTGTTACCTACCTTAGAAGTATTTATCAGTTGATCACGTCACTCCAACGAATCATGTTTTAATTAATTCTTTGTGAAATGGTATTTAAAATTCCATTCGCTCATAAATATTCTCGTATGTAAGTACATTCAACTTATAAAAAAAGTATGAAAAGAGACGTTTATTGAAATTGAACGAACTACTGATAAAGTATGTGACTTCTATAGAAACACTGTGTCAAAGTTTATTATAACTTCAATTAATAAACCAGTTCCTGTCATAGAAAGACAATCTCGCTGTTTGTTTGTGAGATAACTAAATATTATGTTATAATATTAGCTATAAAATAAAAAGACAGTTTCATATACCTTCCAATGATACAAACGTAGTTTCGATAGTTTTTTAAAATATTTTTTTGAAAACCTTTTCTTACTTAAATTTGTGATACGACACCCACGTCTTATAAATTAACGCATCGAAATGTAAGACTATTTATGTATTAAAATTAGATAACAACTATGTAACTATTTTAGAGCGACTTTTTCTAATTGCCTTTTTACTATGGATTTTAAACATGAATTTTGTCAAAATTAACACTCAACTCAACCTCAATAAAAGGTCAATAATGATTTACGACACAAAATATAATTTGTATTTCAATATGACGTGCGATTTCGTATGTGATTTAAGATTTTAATGCTACGCATACGTATCCTGGAAGTTTATGGATTAAAAATTACGATGCCAAAAGAACACTGTAATCTAAATTTTCGTTAGGCTGGGTTGCACCATCTTACTTTAACTTTAGCAAACGTCAAAATCTGTCAAACTCCATACAAAAAACAACAGTTATCGTCATGGTTTAAGCTAGTTGGTGCTACTCAGCCTGAAAATTGTATAGTTTGCTATGACCAGATGCAAGTTGCTTGCTCGATTGTACATAGATGTTATATGGTAGTATGTATTGGAACAATGTAGGTATGCTTGTAATGAGCAAGAAAGACTGTTTTTAACTAGAACAAAGTTTAATGTAAACTCGGCTAGTAGGTATTCGTTATCCTTTAGCTTCCTGCTTTTAAAATATTTGTCGATTATACAACCTACTTAATCTAGATTTTGGACTACATATTTTGTGAAACTTTAAGATATAAGGCCCAACAATTTTGTATGAGTACTATTTAACTAAGCTTTTAAATGGCTGATTACTTTGTACTAGAGAAATGAAAAATTTCATATTAATATTCCATAATCATAAAAACTACAAATTTTATTTCGTTGATAATATTGTTATGCACTCTTTAACTCATACTTCCATTTGAATTTGTAATATTTACTACAGTGGTAGCCGTAGGGGCTCTAGACTTTCGGTTAAACAATTCAGTATTCTTAACTTTTAAGATAATAGTGTTTTATACTTCTCGTTATTTTTGTATAATTACTGGCAAATAAAGAATCGACTTGTTATTTAATAAATATTTTAATTAATTTTCTGTATTTTATTTATCCTGTTTACTTTTTGTGAGATATTAGGTTTTCACTAGAATTTTTTCAAGGTCTAGTACCTAATATGGGCCAAGGTGTGAGGCAACGCAGGACCTTTCCTTAAACCGAGTCGTAAATAAATGTAATAGCATATTTATTGAGAATATTATGAATCAAGTGACCTTGCTCCAGAAAGTGCTATTACGTTAAAACAAATGACGTTAAGTGACACCGAAAGTTTGCGCACTCAGTTACTACGAAACGCTACAAAGCGTAGTCCAGAGTTCCCGTGAAAAACGTGCGAAAAGTCACAAGAAGTTTTCCTTCGCTCGTTTTCTGTCGCCGCGACGAGCGCAGCCTTCAGTCTCGCGCCGAAAGCCGCGCGGAGCGCACGTCAGCCGCCCGCCTGTCCCACACGAAAACGAACTCGTACTACGAACGAAATGAGTTTAAATTATGTAATTTCATTATAGTGTACATAATTTTTTTATCATACAAATTATAATTTTCAGTGAAGTGATAATCTAGTGTCGTCTGACAATGGCGCTGTTGTTTTGTGTATTATTGTGCGCGTGCGCCGGTGCCCTAGGTTTCAATGTGGACATACCCTCCAGGGTTGTTTATAAGGGAAACCATCACTCCATGTTTGGATTCACAGTCCAGTCGCACGTCGATGGGGACCGGAAAATGTAAGTTTTTCTTGTACATAGCCTTAGAAGTGAGGGAATTGTAAATAATATTTTTCCGCGTGCGGCAAGATCTCACCGTTTCTTGACGGCGCTACCAAACGATTCAATGTCAAATTACTCATAGGTATTTTATGCACTGACGTAAGATGTGGAATTCAACGGATAGGTAAACAGTTAAAATGTTATCTTGATACCAAGAAAAAACTTATTTTGTAAACTTTATTTATTTTTTTATTTAATCATGAATAAACTATGTTTATTAATTTAAATGATATCTTATAAAAATAAGAATTTAAAGGTAAAGTCAATATTGCGCTTTGTTAACTTACTGAAAACTTTGCCAGTCTAGCTACTATAACACCCCACACCCATATTATCTAGTTTTGTTGTAGATAGAGTCAAAGATATTTACAATCAAGTCTCAGATATATTTTACTGCTTGCCCATGACATCACCGACGATGTAGAGTGCGCGGATACGAGGCTGACTCGAGACTATATTAGCATTTTGACTAATAGATAGCAAATAAATAACTCATGTCAATATCGTTTATTTTGGTAGCTCTACCACAGCATAATAATGTGCTCTACCAAAATTACGCGTGGGGCGATAACGTTAACAGGCGATTACTAAAAAGGGCGGTCTATTAGACTAGCCATTTAAACTTGCAGAATGTTAGACTCCCATTAGTTTTAAACTATACATAAGTACCTACATTTGTTTACTAACTAAGTTTATTCAGGCGATAAATATTTGCGAGCTTGCATATTATAAAAGATCTGGCAATAACTTAGTTGTCTTATCTCTACATACATATTTTGTTAGTGTTTGCTATGTTGATTACTGAATCCTTTTTTTATCACAGTAGATACGAAATTGTCAGAAACCACCAAATTAGACGCTATACACTTGTCAGTGTTGCGCACATACAAACAACAAACAAATGCATCCATTTATACGGGCAAACTAATTATTAGACAACTTGTTTTATCATTAATATGTTGCTTAAGGTCTACTGATTATTAATGACGAAACAATAGTTTACTTTCTCTACTACGATTGCGTTAAAATATTCAAGTGATAATACAATATTGAATGACGTTTGAACTGTTTGATGACCTATTGATGAGGCTGACAATAGTGACTGAGTTTCTTGCGCTGCTTCTTCTCAGCACTGGCCCATTTATTGTCCCGAAGCAGTGGTAGGGTTAATACTGGGACGTGTAAAAGTGCTTTTAAGCCTATTTGCCAAAATGAATGAGTTTTATAAGTTTTTTATTTTGGTTTTGTTTAGTAAAATCAAATGTTGAATTTCTTGAACATTATAGTGTAAAGACGCATGGAAAGCATTGGGGGAGGCCTATGTTCAGCAGTGGACGTCCTATGGCTGAGATGATGATGATGATAGTGTAAAGTGAATAGCGTACTAAAGTTACTTACCAGGCAGGGAAAACTCCTGAGCAATACCTGAAGTTACAAGGATCGTTTAAGTTTACTGACAGATAGGTATCATAAAGAGTTCAGACTCAACTCTTTTAGATGCTGTCATAAATTAATGTAAACGGTGCTAATGAACAAATAATAATTTTAGTAACTTCTCAAATTCTCAATTTGTAAAATCAATTGTTTAGGTACTGCATGTGAATGCCGCCAAAGTAGTTTGTCAAATGTTTATTGTCTTTGTCCCGCCATCCCTGTCACGCTTGACGCCCCATAGACAAAGCGGCAAAAATTACTTTTTAGGAACCGGAAACAGCGTCACATGCGATGCACATGCGCCCGCGCACACCACGCGCCTTTTTACCGTTTTAGGGATCATTACGAAATAAATAACAATACGAATGTAAGAATGTACGCTGAATGAAACACCCTCAAAACTCGATTTAAATACCTGTTTGCTAATAAATTAAAACAATTTTCTAGATAACAAAATTACGTAATAATATGAGTATGTAGGTATTACTGGCTTGAGTGTATTGTAAGTTTCAAAGCATGTCAAAATTGTCAAATGCAAAATATTTAAGTTGGACAGTTGAGAATTTTGCGAGAGGGCTAACATTTATTTAGTTGTTTTTTTAAATTACTCAATTTTACTTTACAACAGTTGAATTACCTACTATAGATTTTATAACGAATGGAAACTGTGATAGACGGAACCACACGACGGATCTTGGTCATAACTCGCACTCGCATTTTGGTTTTTTATTTTCTTCCCTCAATTCAGTCGTGAACGGCTATTTCTGTTGCGTGGGGTGAAACGCCTCTTGATTTATAGTTTTGCTTACAAATAAAGTTTTTTCCTTCGGGGGTCGGTTGCCAACAAGTGGGAACATCCATTTAGGCCGAACTAATGATAGAGACGCGTTGCGGTCGAATTACAATAAGTCACATCTGTGATAAAGCTTTTTTTGGGGCTTTTAACGTAATATTATGTGGTATTAATCAATCTTGTTTAGTTTTTTACTTGGTCAGAATGTTTCGAGAGGGTAGATGTATTATTAACTCTTTTTAGAATGTAACTTATTTGAAAAATTAATTTGACGTTTTCGAACTAAAAAAGATACAGCTAAATAAAACGTCGTGTTTGCTTTGTCAAATTATTTAAATTTATCTCAAGCGCATAAGTACAGTTTATCGTAAAAATTTAAGCGGTATGCATGCGTACGCGCACCCGTGATAACCCCGCTATCTGCGCTGTAGTTCCTAACTATTTCTGTTTAAAAATTATTAAATTACTTCCTCGTTGAAATTGAAAAACGGTAAAGAACTTATCTACCGTAAGGCCAGGATATTCCATTAACAATTCGTCGATATTATTGCGATAACTTCGTTGAAAAGGATATCTTTTACTTTTTTTACCGTCAAAGCTACTAAGGCCCAGTTTTTTTATTCATAGTTAAAATAACTAATTGTAAAATTTTGATACTAATGGTTAAATATTAACAAAATGTAAACTAATAGTTAAAAAATGTACCTACTAAAATTCAAGGTAACCATTGTTCGAAAAACATTTTTTACTGATGAATGATGAAACCACTTGCGCCGCGCTCCGCGACGGAGCGCGGCGCAGTGTGATTAACCGCCTAAGTCATGAATGTGACTCAATTTTGGCAAAATATGAATATGATTAAATAAGGCGAGTATTTCTTTTGTTTTGAACAAAACATCGAAAAAAATTAATAACTTACAAGGTACGGAATTTAAGTTCCACTCGGCTACTTACTCTTGCCTTAGTTTTTATCAGCGACATTACATATTTTTAGAGTTGTGACCTCGATACTTTGGTGTGCATGCATTGCGTTATGCACCAACGATTTGAGTTATGCACTCACTTACATGTCATTTCTGTTGAAATTGCGTAAGAATCTTTAAAGTTTTGTTCGTTACCAAAAGATTTGCGAATATGGTAACATTTACTTGGGTTTATTTTAAACTGATTAAAGTAAATGGTAGTAGTAAAAGGCTTCTAAAATGAAATATCTATATTTAGATTTCTATAACAAAGAGCTCTTATTTTTTTGAAAAATGAGTGGGCTGATCAGGTCAAAATCTTACTCGTAAGATAAAAATAATTAAGATTTAAGCAAGCTTTTTTCAGCTTTAGCAGTAACTTATTCAGAAGCTTAGAAAAACATCTGAATTTTGCTATGCGTTGATGTAGACTAAACAAGTGTGCTTAATATTCATCAAACCAATGTTGTTCTTATGAACTGCACGTTAAATTCGATCGTCTGCACTGAACCTAAACTGAAAGAACGTTGTTTCATTCACATAAGAGTCGTGCGATACGAGAATAAAACCTCTATTGTTTATACCCAAAGTTGATTCCGCGGTGTCGGGTTACGTTAGATTGTTATGTTTTGATCAGTTAAATACACAGTAGTTTAAGGGTAGGTAGATAGATAGTACCGACTGACTGCTGAGTTCACGTTCATTTTTGTTTATGTTGCAGATTTAGGTAGTTATTTATTACTGTTGTTAGTAAAGGTACATGATGAAGGTGCATGCTTTAATTCGACGACAATTTACTGGGTATGGAATTACACAGATGATTTTGATTTATGTTATATCATTTATAACTACATACTACCTACTACAACGGCAGGTTGCGGTTGCAGCTTTTAATTTCTTCGGGGGCAAATTAGTTTAACGAGCACGACCATTCACATACTGTCAAAAATAGTTTTGGTGGAGACGTTTCCTAACATTGTATAATTTCTGGCCCTCTGTCATTGCAGCCACTTTCACTTTGTCACTTTAAAACAATACTCAAGTAAAGTGACGAAGTGGAACAAACATTTGAATAGCAAAGAAAGTGTTCACAAATGTGCCCGTGACTAGCGACTAGTCGCTCGGCAAATATATTTCGGATCCACGCGTGCGCCGGCGCAGTCTCCGTGACCCCGATCCAGCATGGCGACGAGGCTAGGGTTGCCAGATTTGTAAAAAAAAAGATTTAAAAAAGTAATTTGACACTTGATATTTTATGAGATAACATGTTGATTTTCTATTAAGTACTTACGAGAATCTTGATCGAAATTAAATGTTAAAAACGACATAAGTTGTTCTTTTATTTTTGGTAATTTAGGTAATAAGATACTTAAATTGGCTTTTAAAATATTTTGCTACATTTATCTTAAAACTGGTATGCCGCCGAGCTGCGCTGGTAAGTTAAGCTCAGAAATACCTTGTCTCAGTGAATAAATCATCTTTGAATAAAAAAAGTCTGGCAACCCTACAGAATGGAGATGGCCTCAGACGCGAGTTTACATTCGCGGTAAACAACTCATTGCGGCTGTTGAAATTTCGATAAGTGTAAATAATCCAGCCCAGCCAATCCATTGTTGTCCACTGCTTCAAGTTATATTTGGATTGCATGTAAATCACAATATAAAATTTATAATAATGCATATTTAATTATATTAATCACGCCTAAGATGCAATATAATGTTTAACAAAATAAGACGAGAATCATCCCTTATGGATGGAAGAAGGGCTCA